ATCAGGAGAAGAAGGAAAGTTTGAGAAGCTTCATGGACCGATTCAACAAGATCTCCATGGAGATCGGCGACCTTAACCCAGCCGTGGCAATGGATCGGCTGAGCACTCAGACCGGGGCCATTTGTGAATAGCTTGTGTAAGAAACTGCCCGGTGATATGAACGATCTCCAACGCCGAGCCAAGAAGTACATGCAAATGGAAGAATTGGCGGAGACTAGAAATCAGGCCAGAGCCGAGGAGGGATATGGACGAAAAGAACCGGGTCGAGACCCGATGAGAAAGGCAAATGCCGAGCCCTCAAATGCTCGTCCCCCGAGAGGACCACGTTACACAATGTATACAAGACATTTTTAAATATTTGTCATGCCGTTCCTTATTTTAATATATATATATACGTTTAGGTCGCGCTCATGCAGGTCCAATCTCGAATAACGCACACGTCGACGCCGAGCAATCCTCGGCTGATCACTCAAAAAGTGCGCTCGAGCCCGACAGGTTTCCCTCCCGAGTAACCTCCTCGGCTAAGGATGTACCTAGGCCGAGCATTACGCACATACGCCGACGCCAAGCAATCCTCGGTCGATCACTCAAAAAGTGCGCTCGAGCCCGACAGGTTTCCCTCCCGAGTACCCTCCTCGGCTAAGGATGTACCTAGGCCGAGCATTACGCACATATGCCGATGCCGAGCAATACTCGGCCGATCACTCAAAAAGTGCGCTCGAGCCCGACAGGTTTCCCTCCCGAGTACCCTCCTCGGCTAAGGATGTACCTAGGCCGAGCATTACGCACATACATCGACACCAAGCAATCCTCGGTCGATCACTCAAAAAGTGCACTTGAGCACGACAGGTTTCCCTCCCGAGTACCCTCCTCGGCTAAGGATGTACCTAGGCCGAGCATTACGCACATATGCCGATGCCGAGCAATACTCGGCCGATCACTTAAAAAGTGCGCTCGAGCCCGACAGGTTTCCCCCCCGAGTATCCTCCTCGGCTAAGGATGTACCTAGGCCGAGCATTACGCACATATGCCGAAGCCGAGCACGCTTCGGCCGAACACTCTCAAGCCGACCACTCTTGCGTGCTAAATACACTTCGCGTATCAAATCGCATGATCTGACATCGAAGTCGAGCACGCTTCGGCCGAACACTCTCAAGCCGAGCACTCTCGCGTGCTCCAACACATTTCGCTCATCAAATCGTGTGACCTAACATTTCGGGGCCGACCACGCTTAGGCCGAACACGCTCAAGTCGACCACTCTTGCGTGCTAAATACACTTCGTGTATCAAATCACATTATCTGACTCCGAAGCCGAGCACGCTTCGGCCGAACACTCTCAAGCCGAGCACTCTCGCGTGCTCCAACACACTTCGCGCATCAAATCGCGTGACCTAACATTTCGGGGCCGACCACGCTCAAGCCGAGCACTCTTGCGGATTAAATACACTGCGTATCAAATTGCGTGATCCGACTCCGAGGCCGAGCACGCTCAAGCCGAGCACGCTCAAGCCGAGCACAATCGCAGATCAAATACATCGCGTATCAAATCGCATGATCTGACTCCGAGGCCGAGCACGCTTCAGCCGAACACTCTCAAGCCGAGCACTCTCGCGTGCTCCAACACACTTCGCGCATCAAATCGCGTGACCCAACATTCCGGGGCCGACCACGCTTAGGCCGAACACGCTCAAGCCGAGCACTCTCGCGGATTAAATACACTGCGTATCAAATCGCGTGATCTGACTCCGAGGCCGAGCACGCTTCGGCCAAACACGCTCAAGCCGAGCACTCTCGCAGATCAAATACATCACGTATCAAATCACATGATCCGACTCTGAGGCCGAGCACGCTTTGGCCGAACACTCTCAAGACGAGCACTCTTGCAGATCAAATACACTTCGCGTATCAAATCGCATGATCCGACTCCGAAGCCGAACACGCTTCGGCCGAACACCCTCAAGTCGACCACTCTTGCGTGCTCCAACACACTTCGCGCATCAAATCGCGTGACCCAACATTCCAGGGCCGAGCACGCTTCGGCCGAACACTCTTAAGCCGAGCATTCTCGCGTGCTCCAACACACTTCGCGCATCAAATCACATGATCCGACTCCGTGGCCAAGCACGCTTCGGCCGAACACTCTTAAGCCGAGCATTCTCGCGTGCTCCAACACACTTCGCGCATCAAATCGCGACATGACCGAATTTGAAGAGACAAAAATGTTACCCTTGAAGAATTACCAAGGCTCTGATACCACATGATGGCATCCTTGCTTGCATTGATGAAGAGATGACACTCAATGGCAAGGAACACCTTAGAATCCTTGGATCATAGCTCCTCAAGGGCGTCTTTGATGGAGGGATTAACAGAAATGGAAGTGTGGATGAAGTGTTTGATGAAAGGTTTGAGAGGGGTACTCTAGGTTTGGCTCACTCCAAGGTAGTTGAAGGCCACTTCTAGGATTTTTCTCTCAAGGTGGAGATGGGTAGGGTTTGGCCGAAAATAGCCAAGGGAGACTAAGGAAAATATAAAGGCACAAAAGGCTCACTCTATATTAATTTCCAAAGTATTTACATGGTGCATGGATTTAGGTATTTATAGGGGAGGGAGCATTTAGGGTTGCATTTGGGAGTGTATGGCCGAAATTTGCAATGCCAAATGCACATAAAATGAAACCTAAATTAACCCTAGATGCTACTTGGTGGCCAAGGATGGAATCTTTGGGTTTAGATAGGCTA